TTTTTTTTACTTTATTATGGTTGGTTTTCGTTCTTTTAAAAAGTACTCTAAACTGTATAAATAATGTAAAATTAAATCGAATTTATTGGCCAATCAGACTAACTTCTGTCTATGAGTATTTGCTGTATACCATGTATCCTATGCATCGGGTGAATAATGGATCAAGGGTATAATTAAAACAATCAGTATAAACATTATTATCAGTATAATTAATATAAACGTTATAAGTAGTATAAGCGGTATATCACGAATAAAATGTATAACGCGTCCTATGTAAATGAAAATATATAATAAAGGCCTCGAGCCCTCCAAGAACAGTTCAGTTAGTGCTTATCATAAATTTCGCCCCATAATAATTCTTTGTCTCATTATATAATAAAAACCATACCTACAATCATAACTATACACTCGCCAAATATAACACGCCTCTTCGACTAAGCCCTACTTGTAGGTTACACGACATACCCATTTGTCAAGCGACTGACTCGCCATTTCGCTTGTGTCAATAGACACCACATTTTATCGACAATTATTCACCGACAAGTACATTTCACCGACAGGTTATTTCACCGAAGTTCATTCCACCGACATGTTTTTTTTTTATAAATTGCGCTAACTTTAACTCTAATTCTAACCTGACCCTAACGACAATAGCTAAAACTACTTTGTCTGTGAAATGAGTTTCGGTGAAATAAACTGTCAGTAAAATGAACTTGTCGGTGAATAATTGTCAGTGAAATGTGGCGTCTATTAAGTGATTGTCTGAGTTGATTGAAATCCATGCTATTTTTTGTTCTAACAAGTACACTCATATGTAAAATTTCTTATATAGATCTTTGACGATCTCAGGATCATATGATTTGATTTTGGTGATTTTAGGCTCATCAGAACTATCAATGTGGTCATTTGTTGGTGATAAAGCCATCCAAAACAGGATGGTTAATTAAAATTATTTACTGTTAAAGATTTAATACATTTTTTAATAATAAGTCATATACATTTTTGCATTTTAACTAAACTAAAAAAAACTATTTTATTTAATATGATTACTTACAATACTGTATGATGCATATTTATGATAATATTAGATACAGGTAATTGATACTTTCTAGCAAATTAACTATTCCTTAATTAGTTAATATATGTCATTTAAAGATGATTAAACCTGTGAATATTTCATGAATAGCCACAATGGAATCTCATCTCTAGCTTTTTCTAACCTAATTAATATCAAAAACTCTAACCAACAAAACGGCGAAATTTTTTGGTTTAGTAATTTTAGGCAATTATCATCTTGGAAAAGTTCTGGTCTTTATTACAGTTCAGATTTATATCTAATTACCTGAAAATAACGCAGTGATGTCTGACTTAGATATAATTGTCTTTCAGGAAATCCTATATTTACGACTTTAATATTATTCTTCAAATTTTCTGCAAATTTTTAGTCTTTACATAATTTGGATTACTACTAAATATTCTCTTCCTTGTGCTTGTGTATAATTCAATAAAAACTATAATAGGGTTTAAATAATAAGATTGTTATTCAATTTTTATTATCGTGTCCTACAATGATATTTTATTTTTAAATTATTATCATTTAAGTAGCAGGAAAAAATTTTATTTATATGATGAATAATTATTATTGTTAAGTAACCGAAAAATTTTGTTGTGATGTATTATATTGAAAAAAAATCAAACTGTTTGGCAAGAAATGCATATTTCATTAACTACGTTTCCTCCTGTTGTTGGTATGCAATTTGTTCTATTATCGTCGAGGCAGGAACATGTTCATTGGTTAGTAGTTGCATAATAATTACATAATTATGTGTCTGTAATTAATAATTTTAATGAGTTTAAAATAAATTAAAATACTTTTTCGTATTAAAGTAAAACTTATGATCGCAAAGAAGTGGTGGAACAGGACAATTGCTGTCTCTGCTATCAATTTTAGTTGATTGTGCATTTGTAGATAGTACTAGACCAACAAAGAATATAACAACAAAAAACAAGATAAATATTTTTGGATTCATGATGTTTATTTCTACAGAAACAGACAGTAGTTTTTATATATAAAATATAAAAATGCTTATAACTCAGAAACAAATCATTTTAAAAAAATCTATTTTACAGGTTTGTTGCTTTTAGTATAAGCTACAATTCTATTAGAATAGATTGTATATATATATATATTTTTTATACGTAAAATTAGAAATTATTAGAACTTAAAGATTATATGTAATCAAAAAATTGTTTATATATATTTTTTACTAATCTGAATTCATTTTGCAAAAATTAGCCAATCAAATTTAATTATATATTTTAAAATTGGTGCTTTTGAAAAAAGTGGATATTTCTCACTGCCGGTACTGTAGTTAAATTGTAATAAAAGAAGTACAAGTTTGAAGATAGATTTTTATAGCGATATATATTCTTTGTTTTTGATTATTTGTGTATTTTTTCGGCGAACATTCACCATATTTATAGAATTTCATAAATTTGTCACAATTTAAACTGTTCCCCGACACCATTTTCGCGACACCTGTTTCCGAAAATATCTTCCTGACGACACTTTCCGAACCAAATTTTTTTCACGATACTTTCCCACACAAATTTTTTCCCGACACACTTTCCCGACAATATTTCTCCGACAACCACTTACCCGATATAAACCATTTTCTTGACAATATGTTTTCAACAAACATTATCCCGACATAAACTATTATCCCGACATAAACTATTATCCCGCCATAAACTATTATCCCGACATAAACTATTATCTCGACATAAACTATTATCCCGTATAAACTATTATCCCGACATAACCTATTTTCCGACATAACCTATTTTCCGACATAACCTATTTTCCGACATAACCTATTTTCCAGACATAACATATTTCCCAGACATAACATATTTCCCAGACATTTCCAATGTCCCGACATTTCCACCTTCCTGATATTTCCACCATCCTGACATTTCTACTATCCCGACATTTCTACCTTTTTTATCAACTATATATTAAATTCAAATCTAAATCGCCGATATCGTAAATCCCTCCGGTCTAATCCTATATCTTCAGGTTTAAACTCATTACCAAGAAATATTCTCAAGAAAATCAATGTATTATTTTTGTAAAAAGCCTTCGCTAATGCTTTGCCTCCTTCAATACCAATATTAGTAGCACGGAGGATTAAGTCAGTTAAAGTAGTATTTATATAAAGTGCTTCTGCAAACGCTTTTCCTCCTTCAATACCAATATTATTAAAGCTAAGATCTAACTCAGTTAATGTATTATTCTTGGAAAGAGTTTCTGCTAGTGCTTTTGCTCCTTTAGAATCAATCTTGTTACTGCTAAGGCCTAAATCAGTTAGTGTAATGTTCTTGTAGAGAGCATTTGCTATTGCTTTTGCTCCCTCAGTATCAACATCATTCATGTCAAGAAGTATATATGTAAGAGCAGTATTTACATAAAGTGCATCAGCTAATGCTTTTACTCCTTCTGATCCAAGTTTGTTATTCCGAAGAACTAAAGTAGTTAAGGTGGAGTTCTTACAAAGCATATTTGCTAACGCTTGTCCTCCTTCATGGCCAATATTATTAATACTAAGATCTAAGTCAACTAGAGTGTTGTTCTTACAAAAAGCCTCCGCTAACGTTTTTGCTACCTCAGAATCGATATTACTACGACTAAGAGACAAAGAGGTTAGAAAAGTACTTTTACAAAAAGTTTCAGTTAACGCTTTTGCCCCTTCAGAATTGATTTCATTTTCATTAAGATTCAAAGAAGTTAGAGTAGTATTCTTACGAAAAGCTTCAGCTAACGCTTTTGCGCCTTCAAAGAGAATGTTATTGTTTTTAAGATTTAGAGAAGTTAAAACGGTATTTTTGCAAAGTGCATCTGCTAATGCTTTTCCTCCTTTACTTCCAATATTATTACTCATAAGATTTAAATAAGATAAAGTAATATTCTTACAAAGTGCTTCTGCTAATTCTTTCCCTCCTTCAGTCCCAATATTGTTGTAAGCAATATCTAATGAACTTAGAGCAGAGTTCTTGCAAAGTGTGTCTGCAAATGCTTTTCCTCCTTCACTGCCAATATTATTATAGCTAAGATCCAAAGAAGTTAGAACAGTATTCTTACAAAGTGCCCCTGCTAATATTTTTCCTCCTTCAATATTAATTCTGCAACTACTAAGATTTAAAACAGTTATAGTAGCGTTTATATGAAAAGAATTTAATAATGCTTTGCTTCCTTCAATACTAAACTTACAATAACTAAGCTTTAAAGATG